CACCAACAGCTGCCTCAGCTATTTAAACCCAACCCCTGCTTATTCTTCCACATCAAGCTTCTCTGTGACCATTACAACTACCACTATGGAAAACCAGGAATAGATTCTACACAAAAAAAAATAAAAATTAAGCTACCCACAAGTGAACCAAATAAAGAACACAAGTAAAAAGCTGTTTACACGTAAGGTTTCCCCAGAAAGTATCGACAACAGTCAGTGCCTAATCACCTTTCTCACGGCAGCTTTAGAAGAACCTTCCCTCAGTGCACTTTACCCACACATGCCTACTTGTTGTATTTGAAAGCTTCTGATATTTCTTCACAAAGCTAGCATTTCCTTGGAGGCAAGGAATACATCTCCAACCTTCAATTACCAAGGAAGGGGATTAATTAAACGATCTTACCATCACTAGCTATAGTTGGAAACTAGTGCTACATTTCAAGGTGTATCATTCTTATAGGCATTTTTGGGAAGAAAAGTGATAAAAGACAACTGCATTCAGCAGCATCATTATGCTACATGTGCATTATGCTATGTATGCAATACGCATAGCCAAAAGTCCAAGACACTGCTATTTAAGTAAAAAATACTCTTCTGTAAGGTTTAACAACGGGCGGTTGACAGAGAAGAACGTCTCGTCAATAATCTGTTGTAACAACTGAAAGGTAAGAGGCTTCTTTTATTGCCCCTTTCATTTAAAGCCTGAGCACTGCTCACAGATTCATCCTTACCAAAACTACATAGAATCACACTGGAATTTTGCTAGCTTATTAGACAGTGGAAACTTACAATAAATACACCTTTTCCTGCAGTGCTATAACAAAAAAACCCAAACAAAAACAAAGCTCCCCAAAACCAAAGCAGCATTGTCTAAGTACTTACCATTTGGATGAAACATTTTAGACACAAATCTAACAGTAGGTGGCTTATTCGGATATTCTTCTGTGAATTCTATTGTAAGTTTGAAAGTTCCTAGAGTTGAAAGAGAGATAAGTAACCTTTATTCAGAATGAATTTACACAATGGATGAGTAAGTATCATCCCTCCACAACCACAAACTGATACAATTGTGCTCAAATGTGTATGTTGGATATGGAATACAGATTGCTCAGTCCTACAATGATTCTTCTACTCTCCTTGGAGTTAACGATTAACTCTGAAGTCCTACACAGCACTGGTACAACAGTATCTCCTGTGACTTACTTTTATTGCCAAAACCACCACTCTAGTCAAAAGGTTTGTGTAAGGAAATACATCTGCCCTTCTGCAAAGCCTAATCCCAGTGCACTGTAGAAACAACATAAGTGGGAGTATAACCATCTGTGTAGGACTTACTAAATCATGGCCTGTTAGAGACTGGAATGTGCTATCATGACAAGGACCTCCTTATTTATTTCCTGTTGAAATTTCAAGAAAATACATTCTTAGTAACAACTGTAAGGTAATCAGATCTTATTGTAGAAAAGTAGTCCTGAAAGCAGCATCCAAATCAGACACTTCAAAATAAAAATTGGATAATTTACTTCACAGTAACTAGTCTTCCTTTGAGAAAGGCTGATTAAGCTGAAACAGAAAACTCTGGAGTTAAGTCCCAGTCCAATCGGTTTAACAGCCTGCACCAACAGAAGTTATTTTAGCCCTTCCCCTCAGGCTATGACAATCTGAGAATAAGAAGTCTGTCAACTAAGCTGCACAAATACAGGTCCAAGGGACTAAGCACTGCAAGCGATTCCAATCAGTAACTAAGGAACTCTACATACTCCAAAACATGCAAGCTTCTCTTTACCCTGCTATTGTCTTAGACCAACCAATCCAGGAGGCTGCTTGTGAAGTTTCTGGGTATGCCCAGACAGAAATATCTGAAGCACCTTCATATAAATATATAGCTCTCCTGTAAAAGGAATGCACCTTACAGTAACAGCTGTAACAAGCTGCTGGGGCAGCCATATTACCTTTTTTGAAATGCCATTCTTACATATCAGTGTCAGGTTTTTGTTTCCCCCAACACTCATAGGCTCAGATATAAAAAGCTTACCCGTGCTTCCTACTGTGAGGGAGTTTTCCAGCACTAATATACTTAAGGTATTCCTTCATTCGGCTGGCAAACATGTGCCAGTAACTGGTACCCAGAGAACAGATTTTTCAACCCCTTTTCCTTTTTTTTCAGATCAGCAAGGAGCTACAGTATTTCCCAGGGACTCCTTCATTTGTAAGGAGATAAACTATAACACTGAGTGGCAAGAAATGAAGGTCATTGCTTTGACGTTCCTGTTGCATATGAAGACCGAGTACAGATGCTTCAGAGCTTTCCATACAGCAGTGAGAAGTCTCAACATCCTAAAAATAAGGTTTTGCATGTTTGTTTTTTATTAGCAGCCTAACAATTAAAGAGCAGAGAGCCAACAGCGTGCTCTCGTACCATAAACCAAAATGAACAAGAGTAGTATAGTTAAGATTGTTCAAATTAGCGGAAGTCTGCAGTGGGGCTTTCAAGCTTTACTCCAGCTAATCCAGAGGCACAGAGCCAGATCTGAGATCAGTCTGAAAGCCAGCACTGGAAAGCTAGTAACAACTTCTACCAGCTGCACATCAACTCAGGACTACCTGTCCTTCCTTACACGGTGACAATCCCAAACAACACTGGCTCTTTAGAATCAAATGCTTAGAGATTTGAGTCTAAATCTTAAGAGATTCCCAGCTCTCCCTGCCCCAGTTCTGGTTCTCAGTAGCCTCCTTATGAGGTAGGAAAGCAGGCACATTCTTCTGTGGAAGCGTGACTAAGCAAGCAGTAGGCTGAAAACTGAGCACAAACCATCAAATAGTAGAGTTCAACAGGCATACTTGAGAAAATGCATGCTATTCTAGAACACTGACTGAAGTGAGAGCCAAGGGGACAGATAAGATGGCCAAAAAACAGTAACCAGGGCAGCTTGGTCTTAGCTACCCTTTCAGTAGTTTTAAATGGATTTTATCTGTCCCATGACGGACAGGCGGGCATTACTTTTAACACAAATCTGAGCGAGACGTTAGACAACTTCCAGCTGGAGTATCAACCTACTCAAATTTCCAAGTCAAGACCCAGAGTGGCAACGGCTCTTGGAAAGAGCTCCACAGTACGCAACACCTCATTGTCGAGATTTATTAAAGGACAAATCCAGAGATTTGGTGAACTGAAGTCCAAGGGTCACTCACACTGAAAGCCCACACAAATGAAACAGGTATCACAACACACACTGCTGGGGATGAGGCCTTCAGTGACCAGCTTCTTCTGTCACTAATTTTAAAGCTTTCAACTGGTATTCCTTGTCGTAGACAACCAATGTTAAAACATCATATTCACTGTCATTATTGATATTAGGATCATCACTGATCTTAGGAGAATATTCTCCTTTCTCTCTTGTACGTACTTACCTTGTTGATCTGTTTCTCCTACCTCAGCATGTGAGACTCTCACATGGCTAACAATGAGGCTGCTCCATGACCTGTGTGCTGGCCTGAGCAACACCCGTGTCCCTGCCAGGCCCTTCTCACTGCAAGGAGCAAGAGCAGCCCTCTCCATTCCACTGTCCATAAAGCAGGGACCATCTCTTCCTCTCCCGCATGAGGATACATACTTCATAAGCTAGGAACAAACCATACATAAGGCAAATGCCTCGCTTCCTCTGTTCAAGCCTTCTGCACGATGACACCAAGGCAGGATACTGTAATAGCTGTGTTACTTAAACTCTCTCCAAGCCAGGAATCCTGCACTAACCACAATATCATCATCCAGTTTCAGAGAAGCAGGTCTGAAGGACTGAGAGAGCCTGCATTTCCATCACTGTGACAGCACTATCACTTTAGACGCCACACACACACACAGATTCTTAGAAATACAGTGAAAGGCAGGATAAATATCCCCAGGGTCCTACTGCAGACACCTGCAATGGAATCCTCTTAAACCAGAAGATGGAAGTTATGCTGCTGATCTAAATTAGTAGTTGCTCCTAGGCCGAGTCAGCCTGCGCACCGAGTTGTGAAAACACCCTCTAAAGTCTGGGGGCGGAGGGGAGGGAGGGTTGTTAGCTGCATTATGCTCCACAGCAAGTAAATAAATGTGTTTGAACTTAAGGTTTTCAGTTCAAAGCCAAAAGACCTCAGAAACTGAGACTGAAGAAAGGCCTCACCAGAATGAGGATAAAGAACAGTAATTCTCACAATGTTGAAATTATTACTCCTCTAGTTCAACAACAACAACAAAATTTCACAGGCTACTTTAACAAGAACTAAGGTATCTGCAGTCTTAGAGTATCACCAGGAAGTGACAGAGTCTAAACATGAAAACACAAAGTGACTTCTGAAGAACACTGCACTGCAAAGGCTTCACGAGAAGGACTACAGAGCTCCAGCGTACCTTTGAGTCACAAGGGCCTGCACAGCTACAAAACAAGCCCAAACTTAACAGCTCAATACTGTGAAATAAAAATTCCCTTGATTTTACCTACATTAATTAAGCTAAACTGCATCTGAACTGCACTACCATTATCTGAACTGTGCTACTCTACTCACTTAATGGAAAAGCACAGCTGAGGCACCAATACACCCATATCTCTAGGCACCACTGAGTAGTTTGCTATCTAGCACAATGGAAGATAGGTCCCAGAGAAAAGGAGATAAGCATATCCTGCAACACAAGACACATCTGTTTTCCTGAGCACGTACTGTGAAAAAACACACTTTGCTATGAAAAGAGCAATCCATCACACACCAAGATTATATTATTAGATCAACCAAAGCAGTAGGACAGCAGTAGCAGACTCAAGCATCTGTTTGAACTTCAAACTGCTGTGAGTGCAACATGTCCTAAGTATTTGAGATAAAGACACAATGCTGCCACAGTGGAAAGCACAGACGAAATCAATATGTCAGGGCTCTCAAAGCAGTCTCCAACCTTCTGCAACTAAACGGAAATATATGGGAAAAAGCCCTTATAGCATCTGTTAACCCCACACTGAGCTGGAAGAGCCGGAAGATGGAAACAACCTGCATTTTACCACACTGCAAGGAGACAGCTTTCTGCCCCAAACAGTGAACCACTCTATTAGTGGCAGTGCACCAAGAACCTAAGCAGCTCTAGCAACCCTCACAGAAGTTTAAGAAAGCCCTTCTTTAAGGTTTACAAGATGAAATAACAGAATACATTTAGTCTACCTGTTCTATAATGCCATGGAATACTCAAGTTCTAAACATCTGACTTCTGAAGCAGCTACTATAGCAAGTTTCTTAACTAATCAAATACATTGGAAAAGGTAACTGGAGTCTTTGGAGTCTTCTTAGGCCTGAAATATTTAAAATCTTCAAAATCTTCACAGAAAAAAAATAATATGCGATTTACAAGCATGCCCACAGGTGCTACCTCCAAGGATAAACAGAGACAAAGCAGTTAGCCAAGAACAACCTAAGAGTTAAAGAATTTTTCCTGTGCTTTTGGCATGAGTCATGGAGATCTAGGATTAATTATAGTCTGCACTGAAAGTATCTTAAAAAAAAAAAAAGCATCAGTGATTTCAGTTAGACAGTATTTCGTGTCTAACAAGTTTTCACAAAGATGCTGAAGTATTTATACAGCATCAGTAAAGCTACAAAAAGACAATAAGGCCAGACAGAAACTACAGACACAGGTATGTTACAAGGACCTATTTAGTCAGCTTTTAAAGTTAAAAATCCTCTTAATCTTTAACCCTGAATTATACCAATTGTAGAAGAGTGAAGTAGATGCCAAGAAAAAAAAACAAAAAAAAGTCTGTTCTGAACTTCCTCAAACATTCAGCCCATTTCCTACTTCAGCTGACTCACGTTGGGACTTAGTAGCAAAACACTTCCAGCATCAGAAAAAACAGAACTCAGAACAAATGACAAGCACTCAAAACAAATGACAATGGTTCTATACCAGGTTTTTGACACTTCTCCAAACACGAGTGTCCCTAAAAACATGATCCAAGGCTTAACAGAAAAGCCTGGAAATCCTTAAAATAGTATGTTAAACTAGGCTTAGAATAGTCAGATTTAGCAATTACAAGCAAAGCCCTACAAGATAATTTGCATCTTTCTGTAAATCAACATAGCAATCTAAATGTACACCGCTTTCTTAGAGTAGGATTAAAAAAAAAAAAACCCACAAAAAAAAATATGTATGTAAGTCCTGGATGGAGCGCACGGGTGCGTGATCAGGTGAATGTGCCCCCAGGTCCCCCTCCACCCCCCGGCCCACACCTGTTGCAACATCCGCGGCAGCGACACACCGAGCCCGTGTCAAACTGCAGCGGCGTACCCCGAGAAAGCCAAACACCGGGCCCGCACGTAACCGCACTCACCGTCCTCGAAAGGGGTCCCCTCGGGCCTAGAGAAGGGAAGAAGCAGAGCACAGCGTTACCCCGCGGGCAGCCCGCCTCTCACCGCCCCCTCCCGC